CTGCTCCGGTCCGGCAGCCCGGCGGCGCGGTTCTGCTCCGGTCCGGCGGCGCTTCAAAGCACCGGAGCGTCTCCTCCAGGTGAACACAACGACTCCACGGAGGTGGATCGTCTTTCAGTAAAAGTAACGGGCTGCTCACTGAAGCTGAGACCGGCTCTGTAGAAGACGAATTTCCCCACAGCCACCTCGGTTCGGTTCTGGTCCAATTCGAGGGTCACAGGTACACTTCCCCCACACCTATGGAAACACCACGAGGGCCAGTCCAGCTGAAAACCAGCGAAATACCACCCGGCGATATTTGTCGGAACCAGGTAGAACCACAAAGGTCCAGATAAGAGTTCGTTGAGGTCCAGGGAGAGAGAGAAAAAAACACCGGACCTTCGTGCGTCGACTCCCCAGCTCGAGGGGTCACCTGGCCGGAAGGGTGCGCTCAGAGTGACCGATGGGGGGGGAGCGGCCGATCGGTCCTAGGCCAAAATATTATTATTTTTTTTTTGGACGGTCCCGTCCGGCTCTCTGAGTCACTGAACACCGAATTCGGTTGGAAGGAGGACCAACTTTAGTCCGGTTCGAAAAACGGGTCAGTTTGATGATAAAAGACTGCAGAGAAGCCGGAGGGAGCTGCTGTCCATCAGCTCGCCGGAAGTGAAGTGACTCAGCCCTTTGTGAATAGTAAAGAGCCATCAGGGTGCTAATGATACATTGTTAGGCTGATGGCCCTTCTTGAACATGTGATCAGCTGGTTTTGGTTGTCAGCAGCAAAACTGGTTGATCCACTCTGAGAAGGTGCTATTTAAGAGACTGAGCTGTATACAGCACCTCAGACTGAGGAAGTCTCTCGGATGATAGACGAAACGTTTCTATATTTTTTTGCTTTGTTTTGTTTTTTGTTTTTTTGAATGTCCAGAGGACCAGATTGAACTTTTTTGGACTAACTTTAAGATATTAGTGTGTACATTTATTTTATCTACGTAGCTAGCTAAACTCAGAAGCTAACTAAAGATTGACAGTAACAGATAAATCTTAGCTTGTAAAACTGCTCATCCATCCAGTCAGCTGCTTAAACAGTTCACCCAATGTTCACCGTTTGTTTATGTTAATGTTCTCCTCACAGGAGGTTCTGACCTAGATGCGAGGACAGACAGAAAAGCAAGGTGGGGGCCACAGGACAATCACAGACTTTGTTGTTAAAAGTTTGCTGTCTTTTCTACAGTGGAGCTGCACGGTGGAGGTAAGTTAAGCTGTAAAAGATTTTGTTGACCAGTTAAACTTTTATCTCTCAGCCTAGATAATGTTTTTTGAGCAATAATAACACAACCATGTTATTGTTGATGTTTTGTTCTCATGTCAATTAGGGAGATGATCAGAGCCCTAAACCCCAGAGAACCACAGAGAAGATTCAGGAAGAGACACAGAGGTGCAGAAGTCTGCATCAACTCTAACCTCAGTGAATCCAGTGACCTGCTGGTGGAATGTGAGGGACAATATGTCAGTGCTATCAAACTGACAAACAGGTATCTGTGTGTGCAACAAGCATCATCTACAGCCTCAGAGGGAACGCTTCCTACTGCTGGAGACACCATCAGCCATGAGCGGGCTTGTTTATGTCCAGAGAAAACAGACATGTTGTTTCTGAAGAAAAACTGTTAAGTGAAAAGGTCCTCAGTGTGTAGCAGTGAGCATTAGACACTGACATGTCACTTGTTGTTTGCAACTGTTCTTTTGAACTGGAAATTATTTGTTTATTTTAATGTAAGAAAACTGCTTGGAATAGAAATACCAAAGTTAAAAAATAAAATTCACAATATGTACTGTAATGTGTAATGTAATTTTATTCTTGTTGGAATTAATATTAATTACAAAATTGGTGCAGAATAAAGAACTGTCCAGGAACCGACACCGAAGTGAAGGTACCGACACCGATACCGATTTTTTTAGAAAGGTACCCAGCCCTAGATATAAACCAGGATTGTTTGGGCCATATTTGAACTTTAGACTGTTTTGTCATCAAAAAAGAGAAAGCTGATACTACCACGTATTATCAGTTTATGTGGCAATAACACATGCCCAGGAGGAATAAAAAGATGCATTACTTCCACTAAATCGCAACACAGAATGTGTGCTCACTTGTGAATCATCTTTTTTCTGTCAGTGAGGCATGTGTACACATTCATCATAGGGGCTGTGCACTTACGTGTGTGTGTGTGTGTGTGTGTGTGTGTGTGTGTGTGTGTGTGTGTGTCAGTCGTTCAGCATTATGAACACCAGTGGAGTTTGTTTACATGCTCTGTTTCAGTCTGGGAAGCTGTCATTTACCAAGATATACTGGTACATAGAAATATTTAAAATGTACAGATCAAGGCCTAATGACTCGAAATAGATCTGCTTGCATAATTTTGATCATGTGATTATTGTCCAAGGATTCTAATTCTAACTGCTCACATTTAAAAGTGCAGCTTGTCAGGAAGTGCAAGTTCCTGCTCAAAATACTGAGTCAGCAGCTCCCAGCTGTTATACATGTGAAAACAGGGAAGAGATAGGATGTCTTGCTTTTGTGCATGTACGCGTGTGTGTATGTTATGTGTGTGTGTGTGTGTGTGTGTGTGGACGGGGATGTTTTCAAAGCACAGTGCCACCCCTTTGGATGTTTTATGTTGTTTGTTTTTGTTTTTTTGCTGTCATAAATCAGTCATCTTATGGTAAATATAAATTGGCCTTCTTCACCCAAAATCCCTCATTATTTAAGTAAAATCTAATTTCAACAGTTTAGTACCATGTAGAAAAACATGTAATATTGAATAGGCGATTGCATAAATATTCACCCCTTTTAAAGCAACTGTCTTAATTCAACTCAAAGAAAAGATTACTGCAAAGTAAAAATGGAGATCCAAAGTAAAGTTTCAAAGTTTCTGCACAATGTGCTGCCATTCTTGTCAGCCCCTTTAAATTTCTGGTATTTGGCATTACCCTGCTATTTCTATAAAGCCTGATTTCTTTTGAGAGCTACAGTCAGATAGCATTTCTGCTAAACAAAATAATCTACACACCTCATTTTAGAAACACGCTTACCTCATTTATTTTTAAAGGTTGACATACTGTATATTGGGGCAGCTGTGGCTGAGTGTTTAGAGCAGTTGTCCTCCAATTGGGAGAGTTGGGGGTTTGAATCCACCAGCAGTCACATGCTGAAGTGTTCCTGACCAAGACACTGAACCCTTCATTGCCTCTGATGCGTGTCCGATCAGTGTATGAATGTGATAAAGCTCTGATTAGTCTTTGTAGAGATCTAGTAGAGTGCTGTAAAAAATGTGTTTATGGAGGTAAATGAGGGACAGATTGTAGTGTAAAGCGCTTTGAGTATCTTGATAAGATAGAAAGGTGCTATATAAGAACAGACTATTTACCATTTACCATGTATCTACTGTGACAAAAATATTTTTTATTGCCCTGCCTTTGCAGCTCTCCACACTTCCATTCCTCTCTTTCTTGGCACAATCTTGATGTCATTTAAACATTTTTAGTTTGCACAACTCAAGAAAAATACTGACCATGTTGTTTTAAGCATGTTTAAGAAAAATTTCTACCAAATGTTGATAGACCAATGTCTCATATCTCTATGCTGTCATCATGTTAATCTGTAGGCTTCACATTTTACACTGGCATTTCTACTTTTTACCTTAGCATTATTCCACACCTATCACATTTTTAATAACAGCACAGTCTAGTCATTTTAAAGGTAATATTATGTCACAAATATCATCAGTGGCTTTTTACAGCCTTTATTTCATTGCAAAGTTGGTAAAAAAAAAAGCCCTTTTAAACATAAGGGTTGCAGACTTCTGCACTAGATAAAACTTCCATCAAGCCACATTTGATATGTGACAGGCTGCAACTGCGCCTCACCTGCTGATAATGCAGTCATTAGCTAGCAATGTCCATCAACACTTGTTCATTCTGTAGCGCAATGCTGTATTCACCGACATACAGTAATAAAGTCATCAAACATTAATATTTGTATTAATGATTTATTGTCCCTTTTCTTTCCCTTCACCACTTTCTCACCTCCTTTTCCTCACCCTCTTTTCTGACTTGCAGGTGGTGTCCTTTAGTCAGATGTGCTTCCTCCATCCTACACATGGCTGACAGGCGGAGACCGAAGGGGTGAAGGAGAGTACGACAACAAGAGATTTCAAGACGCACTCTTGTAAAAAGACAAAGGAGATCTGGGATCAGTCCCCTGCTACTTTAAAGCTGCATTAGAGTCTGCAAGTCTTCTTCAGCTTTGCAAGAAACAAGGTTGTTCTTTCTACATCTTATGACCCAGTGGATGAATCCAAGCCAGGGCGATGTAAAGCCTTCATTGGCTTAAGACTGGGCCCCTGGAGCTGGTCTATGGGGGTATTTGTGCTAACCCTGCTGGATCTTCTGCTGGCTCTATCCTCCATGGTTGTCATTAGTTGCTAATAAGCTGCTGCCTGAGAGGAAAGAGAGAATGTGCCTGTGGAGATGGACAAAACTGTACAGCTGTTATTAAGAGTCTCAGCAATCTAACTAATAATGCTTTGCCTTTTTAAAAGAGTATAACCCTTTGAAAGCTTTGAACATTTGAAAAGATTTCATTGTTTTTTATATTTTTTGTCTTTTTACCAGTTCTTAATTATGATTATATTGTTTTTGTGTCAGTGTTGTCTGTTAAAAAATGTCTCCCTTCTTTTGCTCTGAAAAAAACTGATCACCATGGCAGCAGCCTATCGTGTAGTTGTGAGCAGTGTTAGCTGCTACAACAGTGTGGTGGTGGACCGACGCAGCCATTCCCAAGCCGTGCACTACTGCTCTGGGCCATGTGGGGTGCTGTCCCAAGGCCTAGACTGCACTGTTGCACATCGTGGAACTTGTTCTGAGCTTCTTGTTGCCTCTGATTCAGTGTACAATGACTTTAGCATCTCACCCATACACTCCCGAAACATGATCACACAGCAACTTTCTAAGCATAGTAAACTTTGTGTTACCATGGATACCATTCATAATGGTTGTCTAGAGAGGACAAGCAGCAGTGGCAATTTGTCTTCAGGGGAGGACAGCCCCACATGGCGTGGTAAAAAGACCCCCAGTGGTGCAGGATCTACTGGGAACATGAGCTGCTCTGTGAGCCTTAAAGACATTACTGAAGAAGCCATTAACCTGGCCAGTGGCAAGCTCAAAGAGTTTTCATTTGACAAGCTGCGCCTGACCTCCTCTAGTCATGTCACTTTCCGCAAAGGTCGTAAGGTTCGCCCAGACTCTTTTAGTCGTCGGTCCACTGACCTGGACATCATCTATAGCCACATCAGCTCCAATCTGACAACAAACACAACAGCTAACAGCATGACGAATGGCTTGGCTCCTTCTAATGATGAGAACCTTCCACCACTTGTGCTGGGGAAAGGAATGGGAATGGAAGAAGCAAAACTAAAGGGCAGCTCAGGCATGCTCTCAGCCAACAACAAAGCGGGTAGTGGCTCAACAAGCACCCTTTCAAGTATGGGGTCACTGAACCAGAGTCTGAACACGGTGGCCTCCTTGTACTGCAGCACCCTTGGAGAGGAGAACCTAATAGCCCGATTGCTGGAGAAGACACGAGCAGAAGCAGCCACTGGAGGAACAGGGGGGGAGGACATTCGTGCATGTCTTGACATTCTGCTTAAATGTTCTGAAGACCTAAAGAAATGCACTGACATCATCAAACAGTGCATCAAACGCAAAGCTGGTGGCAATCCAGAGGATGGAGGAGCAAGTCCTGACAATGTTTATCGTGCTGTCATGACCCGACTTAGCTCTTACCTGAAGAGACTGCCACTGGAACTAGAAGGGAGTGGAAGTTTGGGAGGCAGTGGACTGGGAGGTCAGGGAGCACCTGGAAGCAGACACAGTGATTTGGCTGAACTGGTAAACACCCTTCACTCAATCCAGCAAGGACCTTTTTCTCCGATTTTTGGTAGTGAACAACCTCCTCGCTATGAAGATGTGGTGCAGTCACCTCCAGTTCCAAAGACCATTTCACAATCTTCTACTCCTTCTTTGTCTTTATCTTCATCTGTGTGTTCTAAATCAGATTTCATCTACACCAAACTAATCCAGAGTTCAGCTCAGTTTAAAGGTCCTCCACTCACAAATGGACTACAGCCTTCACATGCATCTTCTCTCACTCAACATACTCTTTCTCCACCATCAGTCACATGTTCTTCTAGTAGTTCTTCTCCTACACACTCCCCATCCTCGCTTCGAAACTCACCAAGCCCACCTGACACACACAATCCCCCAGCATCCCCCATGGAGGCTCTTTATATTGAGGAAGAGGCAGATATGGAAAAGACACCATATCATGTCTTGCTGCAAACACACTCTCCACCTAGAGGGGTGAACACTACATCTAACAATGATGAGACTATGGTGGAGCAACACCTGCACTTGTCACAGTCTAATACATGCCACAATTCTTCAAATAATTTGCCAGCCAGCTCTGACTACATTTCCTCTTGGGCTCAAACTGCCTCACTAACTGTCTTAACACCTAAAGCTATATCACGCAGGAACGATGACATTGATAAACTGCTAATTGACTTGGAGAATCTGTCTCAGAGCATGAGCCACCCCAGAATCACAGAACTTCCTCTTCCAGTTAAAACCAGGAAGCGAGTGGGAGGCCAAGGGACTAACATCAATGAGTCTTTAACTCACCTCAAAATGACACCGTTTCATATTAAAAATCCATCCAACCACCAAAGCGTTAATGGCCTTAGCTCCAACACGCCCCTGAGTATTCCTCCTTCCCAAGGACAGAACAGTGAGCATGAAGGGGCTGGAGATGAAGAAGATGGGGCACTTTTGTTAAGAATTCTTGAAAGCATCGAGAGTTTTGCCCAAGAGCTGGTGGATTCTGGGCCAGGGAGTACTGGAAGTGCTGAGAGGAAATGCGGAAAGGAGCGGGAGGTGATGAGATTATTGCAGGATACACTGACCACTGCTGGTAGGGCTGAAACTCCTGAGAGTACAAACTCACCAGCTGTTTCTACTGTTCCCTTTAAATACACAGACATAGACCCGGCTGCAAAGACAAAATACACAGAGGAAAACACACCTGTGGTTTCACTTACAACAACATCAATACCTGCAGTACCTGGACCTGACTCTAATGTTGCAATAGAATCTGCACTTAAACCTACACTAGATGCCTCTCCTGATCTTCTTTCTTTGCCTAAACCAGTGCTAGATAATGTTACAGAAGCTTCTGCAGGTGAATCTGTCCCTGAAGCATCTGTACCTACAAGTTTCCTGGAATCAACACATTTGGATGGACCTTCATCTGTGGTCTCACCTGAAGCCCCGGCTTCTGTTGGTATTCGAGCTGCAGAAACCACAAAAGATAATGCTATTACTGTTGATGAACCTGCTACTATGGAATATGGTGGCACAACCCTTCTCATCCAGCAGACTCCAGAGGTGATCAGGGTAAGTAATATGCACATACGTATTCACAGTCAAATAGGTTATCAGAGACAAGCACAGACAATTACTTTAGTTGCCAGTATATAGAGCACACCAGAATATAAGCCACACACATTAAATAAAAAAAAAACACTAACAAAAACAACAAAACAATTTTGTACATACTGTATATGAGCCTCGGGTGTTCATGTTATAACATGAGTGGCAGCACACAACTACTGAGAGAGATGTACAGCTCTTGTTGTAGATCAAAAATCAACCACCAGATGGTGTTTCATAGATTTTACTGTCTAACACACACACACAGATAGAGTGAACCCCACACGCCTTCGTGACAACTACCTCCCTCATTCATGGTTACTCTACAGAATGGCCTAACACAAACTAACATATAATGAACACAAACTACCAGTAGGCTAACAAGAACAGACTAATCACTAAAAGAACAATGCTAAACAACTAATGAAAATGATTAACAATGAACATAAATTTTACCCATAATCCCTCCCTGAGGCCATGTGACCAGCAGTCAACTGCAATGGACCATAGTGTGCTACAGTATGCACCGGTAACATGCACAAATACGTACAGTAAATGTTTTTTTTTTCTGAACAGTGTCTGTGACACAGCTGGTTTAAAAAACAAACAAACAATAAAAACAGTAGCCTTCCAGGAAGTCAAGGAAGAAGTGGGTAAAGATAATGGATGGATGGATGAAATCTTATCATGACTACGATTGTTGTCTAGACATGAGTCCAGTGTGACCAGTCCTGCTTTAAATTCTCCATGACCAAGCCACAATGATGCATGCTGGTACCATGTCATTGATCCACTGACACCATGCTTCACCAAGCTGTCATTACAATAATAACACCATGATCTTGCTATCCAAGTGTTGCGCTCAAAACTCTCCATGCTCTATCACTGCTAATGAGACCCTATGTATTAATTTACTCCTGAAAACCTCGCCAAGACCCTGCAAAGGCCATTTATGTTCTGGATGATTGTCACATTGTAGCTGAGTGCTGTTATTCTGTGTGAAAAGGAACTTACACACAGGCTGTTTCAGCTTTTCACTTTATACCAGCTCAGAGGCAAACTGGCTATGGATCAACTTATCCCATTCTGCCTTGGTCACTTTACACATAATACCAAAACTGTTATGTGAAAAAAGTCTAATGTTAACTATAGTTGCATAAGTTTTGCCTTGTGTGACAAAATATTGTTGTTGTCACTTTAACAGATACTTCCATATATGTTACAATGTAAAGTAGGTAATGTATTTTGCCCTTCAAACTATTTTGAAGATTGTGGACAAAGGGTGGTGGTGGTGGTGTGTGTGTGTGTGTGTGTGGGGGGGGGGGGGGTATGTGTGTTTATATACAGTGCCTTGCGAAAGTATTCGGCCCCCTTGAACTTTTCAACCTTTTGTCACATTTCAGACTTCAAATATAAAGATATAAAATTTTAATTTTTTGTGAAGAATCAACAATAAGTGGGACACAATCAGCTGATGGGGCGGCTGTGGCTGAGTGATTAGAGCAGTCGTCCACCAATGCGAGAGTTGGGGGTTCGAATCCACCATGCTGAAGTGTCCCTGGACAAGACACTGAACCTCTCATAGCCTCTGATGTGTGTCCCATCGGTGTATGAATGTGATCTAAAAGCACTGATTAGTCTCATTAGAATGATTTGTTCAATTAGCTTTGTAGAGATTTAGTAGAGTGCTGTGTGTGAATGGGTAAATGAAGACACAGATTGTAGTGTAAAGCGCTTTGAGTATCTTGAAATAAGATAGAAAGGCCTATATAAGTGCAGTCCATTTACCATTTACAATCGTGAAGTGGAATGAAATTTATTGGCTGTGTCAAACTTTTTTAACAAATAAAAAACTGAAAAGTTGGGCGTGCAATATTATTTGGCCCCTTTACTTTCAGTGCAGCAAACTCACTCCAGAAGTTCAGTGAGGATCTATGAATGATCCAATGTTGTCCCAAATGACTGATGATGATAAATAGAATCCACCTGTGTGTAATCAAGTCTCCGTATAAATGCACCTGCTCTGTGATAGTCTCAGGGTTCTGCTCAAAGTGCAGAGAGCATCATGAAGACCAAGGAACACACCAGGCAGGTCAGAGATACTGTTGTGGAGAAGTTTGAGAAGATTTGGATACAAAAAGATTTCCCAAGCTTTAAACATCCCAAGGAGCACTGTGCAAGCAATCATATTGAAATGGAAGGAGTATCAGACCACTGCAAATCCACCAAGACCTGGCCGTCCCTCTAAACTTTCATCTCGAACAAGGAGAAGACTGATCAGAGATGCAGCCAATAGGCCCATGGTCACTCTGGATGAACATCAGAGGTCTACAGCTGAGGTGGGAGAGTCTGTCCATAGGACAACAATCAATTGTACACTGCACAAATATGGCCTTTATGGAAGAGTGGCAAGAAGAAAGCCATTTCTAAAAGATATCCATAAAAAGTGTAATTTAAAGTTTGCCACAAGCCACCTGGGAGACACACCAAACATGTGGAAGAAGGTGCTCTGGTTAGATGAAACCAAAATCGAACTGTTTGGCCACAATGCAAAACAATATGTTTGGCGTAAAAGCAACACAGCTCATCACCCTGAACACACCATCCCCACTGTCAAATATGGTGGTGGCAGCATCATGGTTTGGGCCTGCTTTTCATCAGCAGGGACAGGGAAGGTGGTCAGAATTGATGGGAAGATGGATGGGGCCAAATACAGGACCATTCTGGAAGAAAACCTGTTTGAGTCTGCAAGAGACCTGAGACTGGGACGGAGATTTATCTTCCAACAAGACAATGATCCAAAACATAAAGCCAAATATACAATGGAATGGTTCACAAATAAACATATCCAGGTGTTGGAATGGCCAAGTCAAAGTCCAGACCTGAATCCAATCGAGAATCTGTGGAAAGAGCTGAAGACTGCTGTTCACAAACACTCTCCATCCAACCTCACTGAGCTCGAGCTGTTTTGCAAGGAAGAATGGGCAAGAATTTCAGTCTCTTAATGTGCAAAACTGATAAGAGACATACCTCAAGAGACTTGCAGCTGTAATTGCAGCAAAAGGCGGCGCTGCAAAGTATTAAGGGGGAGTGGTGGCGCAGAGGTTAGAGAGGTGGGCTTGTGATCCGAAGATCGCCGGTTCACGCCCCGGCCCCGACAACATCAAAATTGTGGGTGGGGTAGGTGAAACACCCACACTTGCCCCCACCCTCATTCGCCCCACTCTGGGCCCATGAGCAAGGCCCTTAACCCCCACCATGTGCTCCCTAAACAGGTCTCTCTTGAAAATGAGTTCTCGTGGCTCAATGAGACTAACCTGGATAAATAAAGGCTAAATGAAAAAAAAAAATAAATTAACGCAAGGGGGCCGAATAATATTACACGCCCCACTTTTCAGTTTTTTATTTGTTAAAAAAGTTTGACACATCCAATAAATTTCATTCCACTTCACGATTGTGTCCCACTTGTTGTTGATTCTTCACAAAAAAATTTAATTTTATATCTTTATGTTTGAAGCCTGAAATGTGGCAAAAGGTTGAAAAGTTCAAGGGGGCCGAATACTTTCGCAAGGCACTGTATATACAGTGTCTATAGTTGCATAAACTATACAGTATACTGTAATACAGACCTAACAAGGCTAAGTCAGGTCCTCTGGATGGATTCATCTTGTTGAAAAATCCAGTTCAACAAAAATAATTTGTGCAAAGACCCTGACCTAACCTTGTTAGATTTATCGACCTGGACTATTTAGTATGCATCAGTATAAAATACAGACAATACAATATATAATCTCAGAAACTAGTGTTGTCTTGGCAGTCCACCTATACCTCCTATCTCAATGATAAGGAATACTGTTTTGAGGATCAAAATGTTCATATTTTAGACAGAGAAAACAGATGGTTTGAGAGAGGGTGAAGGAAACCATTTATATAAAATGAGAAAAAATACTTTGAACTGAGGAGAAGGTCTCAGATTTCAACTTTCAAAAACTTATAATAGCTGCTTTGCCATTGATGAGTGTGATTCCACTTGGTTCGCTAATCCATTCTTCTCATGTGTAGGTGAATTGCCACTGTGACTTGTTTTCCCACTTTGATTGTCAAAGCAAAGTGGGTGGTTTCTTGTAGCTCTGTCTAGCTCACTCTGAATCCTCTGTCCCGCCAATAAAGACAGAAAGGTGTGGACCTCGTCATTGGTCCATGGCACTGTTTTTGGAGCTTACATACAGAACTAGAAACTAGAAGACTAGAAAACTAAAACTAACCCACATTCTACTACCATTGCATGGGAAGTGGCAGTTCAGATGTAGTTTGCAGTTATTACTGGCATACATGTGTTTACCTGTATACTGACCTTCACAAATCTATAAAATTCACAAAAACAATCTGTATGTCTTGACATGTATGTGCTGGGAAGGTCATCAATTAGTGTAGCCAATCAACGGCAGAAAGGTGCTTAGAAGCTCAAACTGGAGAGATATGATCTCTCCTACTAACTCCAGTTATAACTCTGGCAGCAGCATTTTGGATTGACTGAAGACGTTTTAAAGAAGTATTTGGACACCCAGATAAACCATTGCAATAGTTCAGTCTAGACGTGACAAATGCATGGACCAGTTTTTCTGCATCATTTTTAGATAAGATGTTTCTAGTTTTAGCAATATTACGCAGGTGGAAGAAAGCAGTTCTAGTAAAATTTTTAATGTGGGGGTTAAAAGACATGTCCTGATCAAAAATAGCAGCAAGATTTTTAACACTATAAATGGAGGACAGATTAATGCCATTCAAGGAGGGCGAAAGACTGAAAAATTAATTCTTATGCTGCTCAGGTCCAAAAACCAAAACCTCTGTCTTGTCTGTGTTCAAAAGCAGAAAATTTAGGGTCATCCAGGTGTTTTTGTCTTTAAGACATTCTTGTAGTCTAAGTAACTGATTAGTTTCATTGGGTTTCATGGACAAATATA